GTATCTATAGTAATAATAATATAAGCATAACCCAAGGAAAGTGTGTGCTTGTGTTTCAATCTTGTTTTTATATATATAATTTACAAAGAGAAAAGAAAAAGAAATTTTCTACTTTTAAAAATTATTCAATATTTATTCTTCATTAAGAATATTATAGTAAATATATTTCTTTATACATAATATTACATTCAACATCAATTTTTTTTTTTTTTTTTATAAATACAAGCACACCTTTGTATTATATAAAAAATAAAATACAAATGCAAAAATGCATGGAAAACATGAAAATTAAAAATCTAAATAGTCCCTTCATCGTATATCTATATATCAATTTGCTTTTTACACAGAGTTTTAGAAATATTAGTATTATATTGGGATAAAGTAGAAATAAATGTGAAAAGACTAAATTAATCCTATTAGTATTATATGATATAAAGATAATGACATTTGTGTAATATATTGTAAATTAGAAGGGTATTTGTAATGTTAGGTAAATAGTACAATTACTAAAAAATAAAATAGATACAGACGGATCAAAATAAAAAGATAGATAAATTGTTAAGGAACGGAGATAGTATAAAAAGAGATGTGCTTGTATCTTTAATCTCATTCTCGCCCATGGAATCTACACTAAAATATACTTATTACGCAAAAATTATGTAATTATCACAATTCATTTATAATAAAAATATTTATTTACTTATAATTTTATTATTTTTAATTTAACAAATAATCACTTTGTCATTATATTTTCTACTTATTCAACTATTTTTTATCAATCTTTTACTCATTTCTTTTTTCTTTTTTTTTTTTTTTTATAATACTTCTACTTTATTTTATCCACCTTATTATTTTTAGCATTAAAATATCATTATTTTTTAATTTCTATGTCCAATTAAACCTACAGAATTTTACCGGATGAAAACAATATATTTTCTTAAATATTATATCATTTTTTTATTTCTTTTTATCTATAATATAAAATTCAACACATATTTTCTGTTAACAAACAATTGAATTCATATTCTAATTCATTTGCTTTGTTAGAATCTCAACTAACTTTTTATCAAAATATCACGTAAAAATATTATTTAAATTAAACAAACATACAAAATCACAGTCAAAATATATGAAACAAAAAGATTGTTTGCTTTCAATTTTTTATTATACTAATATATAATAAAAATTGTTGATAAAAATTGTTGATGGATTTTTTCAACAAACAAAAAGTAAAATTCAAAGATATGGAAATATCTTCATATTTGATTAATTAGTGCGATTAGGAATCTCTAAACACTGTACGGTACATAAGAAAATTAACTGAAAAATAAAACGCTGAAAATTTAAAGTGGTGATCCCCGAATCTGACTTTGCTTTTGTTGAAGTTGATTGAAGATACATTCTCCAGAAAAATCCAACTCCTTAAATATTCCTTGAAGAAAACGCTTGGAACCGTCGCCTGGTTGGTTACAGCAACCGCCGTCAACCGCCCAAAAGAAACGTTTTGAAACGTCGCATGGTCAGTTATAGCAACCGTCTCGTCAACTGCATAATCCAATCGACTAATCCAGCGACTAACTGGTCGCTAGACCAAAAGACTCCTTGGCCGCCCACCAAGCGACCAAACTACTGTTCACTTAAGTGGGCAATCAAATACCAGACCTTACTTCGCCCGACCTCCGTAGTAGCCGACTTTACTTGGTCCGACTTTAATTGGTCCGACCACGGACCAACCGATTACAGACCATCCGACTGCAAACCATCCGACTTATTGATCCAACCTGCTGACCTTCTGACCTGCGTACCGTCCGACTCGCAGACTATCTGACCTGCGGACCTTCCGACCTGCGGACCTTCCGACCTGCGAACTGTCCGACTCGCAGACTATCCGACCTGGGACCTTCCGACCTGCGGACCTTCCGACCCGCGAACCAACCAACCGAAGACCAACCGACCTGACCAACTGATCTGAGCGCAAATTTTTTTCTCCTTTTCCACCCGACTTCGTGTCTAACTTCCTTTAAGATCCTGCTATCATTATTTTTATTATTATTATTATTTTTTGTGCGTAACAATAAGCCTCCCCCTCAAGACTCCTAAGCGTCACTTTCAGTGATGTTTTAGGAGTTTGCAGGCCGTCATCCGAGACCACATCAGCCTCAGATCTGACCTCCTTCTCTCGAGGCTATGTTGGACCCGACCTCCATTGATCGTAGACTGGCGGTGGCCTGCGCGTTGGTCGACCTTGCACTACCATTTCTTCAATACCTCCCCCCTGACCGAAGCCGCGATCATTCTCTTTAAAAAATGATTCTAACATTCCTGCCTTGGATGCTAAACTAGCCAGATCTCAAACATCGTGGGCTGTCAAAGCCTCCCGAAGGTTGGTGTGCATTTTCCTGACCACCAAAGTGGTCATTTCACTTTATTCAATGATTTTCGGGCAACGTCCCTTCATTAATTGCATCCGTTCTATGAACTGGGAGGCGGTCTCCTCCGGCATCTGCTCGATCTCAAAAAGGTCTGTGAGTGAGACTGTTGGAAGAGGAATAAAGAACCTTGCATGAAAGGCCGCTTCCAAACCTTCTCAGGTTTGTATTTGTCCAGGTGGTAGATCGACAAACCATGAAAAAGTTGTTCTGATAAGAGACAAACCAAATAGTTGCAGTTTATAAAAAAGGGTTGCTACCGATCTCTCCTAACTGTGCTGTGAACCGATCAACATGCTTTATGGTGGAGGATCCGTCTTCTCTTGAGAAAACATAAAAGTCTGGCGGTCGATAATTCCTCGGGAGAGGATACTCATTGATGATTATTTCTGGAAATGGCCTTTGACACACTGGTCAGTTCACCGTTTGCGTGTTTATTCCGAAATGCACCCGCAAAACTTGCGCGATATCTTCTGGATCTATCCTGGGTGGAACAGAATCTTCCCTAGAGAAGGCTGGCTCGGCTGGGATGGGATTATGAATCTGATCTCCCAATCTTTCTTCTCTGGGGACGGTTGGCTCGTCTGGGATAGGATTATGAGCTTGTCCTCCCAAAATCTCTTCCCTTACGATATTCGGCTGAGTATTATCAACTCTTGGTCCCAAAGGAGCATTATCTTGGAAATTTAGAGGAATCTTCCCCATATCTGGTCGGTTGAAAGTTGTGACGCTTGGAAATGTACTGTCAACGTACATTGGCCCTGCGAACGTTGATCCTGGAAAAGTCTCCTGAAAACGAGAAGGTGACACGGCTGGAAGCATGCTTGGATACAAGGTGAATCTGGAGAACGCCTGATCCAACATGTTCTGCATTAGATTTTGTTGTTCACGCAACATGTTCTGTTGCTCACGCAACATATTCTTCATAGCCAAAGTTTGCTGATTGTTCAATTGTTGAACATAAGACAACCAATCGGTAGGTGGTTGGGGAATCTCCCCTGGATTTGACATGCCAGGTGGTGAAATATATTATCCCACCGGTACTGATGATGATTGAGATTGTGAGCCTGCCATAGTGATCTTTCTGATGATTCGGCCAGACCTCAGTTGTATGACATTTTCTGATGATGTAGGATCAACAATCTTGCCTTTCTCCCACTGTGGTCGCCAATTTGTTGATGTATTTTTTCAACAAACAAAAAGTAAAATTCAAAGATATGGAAATATCCTCAAATTTGATTAATTAGTGCCTGAAATTAGGAATCTCTAAATGTTGTACGGTACATAAGAAAATTAACTAGAAAATAAAACGCTGGAAATTTAAAGTGGTGATCCCCAAATCTGACTTTGCTATTGTTGAAGTTGATTGAAGATGTCTTCTCCAGAAAAATCCAACTCCTTAAATATTCCTCGAAGAAAATGCTTGGAACCGTCGCCTAGTTGGTTACAGCAACCGCCGTCAACCGCCCAAAAGAAACGTTTTGAAATGTCGCCTGGTCAGTTACAGCAACCGTCTCGCCAACTGCATAACCCAACCGACTAATCCAGCGGCTAACTGGTCGCTAGACCAAAAGACTCCTTGACCGCCCCCACCAAGCGACCAAACTATTGTTCACTTAAGTGGGCAATCAATTACCATATCTTACTTCGCCCGACCTCCGTAGTAGCCGACTTTACTTGGTCCGACTTTAATTGGTCCGACCACGGACCAACCGACTACAGACCATCCGACTGCAAACCATCCGACTTATTGATCCGACCTGCGTACCGTCCGACTCGCAGACTATCCGACCTGCGGACCTTCCGACCTGCGAACCATCCGACTCGCAGACTATCCGACCTGCGGACCTTCCAACTCGCAGACTATCCGACCTGCGGACCTTCCGACCTGCGAACCAACCGACTGGAGCAATCGACCGAGGACCAACCGACCAGACCAACCAACCGAGGACCAACCGACCTGAGCGTAAATTTTTTTCTTCTTTTCCACCCGACTTCGTGTCTAACTTCCTTTAAGATCCTGCTATCATTATTTTTATTATTATTATTATTTTTTGTGCGTAACAAAAATATAAAAATATTATTTTTTTCTTTAAAAAAAATAAAATTATAAAAATAAATATTTTGATAATATTGTTGCAGTTCTTAGTAATTACAACATAGATTACAAAAACTCCTAAACATTCTAGAAGAACACAATCAAACTTATCAATTTTTTTTTTCAAAAATAAAATAAAATTGCAAAATAGTAAAAATTCATTAGTAGATTATATTACATACAATTCCATTTTAAAAAGAAAAAATATGTAATATTTGAAATGAAAAAAAAAAACCTTTTAACCCTAGCAAGTAAAGTGTGTATTTTATTTTATTCTATTTTTTCAATTTCCCTAGTTTTGTTGCATGAAAAATCTGTCATAAATTTGATGAAACCGATAAGTTCCCCAGCAAATTAAATTCCTTTTATATGTCTCAATAAATACAGACTTAAACCAAAATGTTTAGAGTGACAGACAAAGATTTCTAAGTACCATTTCAATCGACTCTTTGAGAGCTTCCTCAGGTGCTCCAATGGAGTCTGGAAATGTCTATAATGCCCCTGCTCTTCATCCCCTAGGGCTGCTACCCAACCACACTCATCATCAAGAATCTTTGAGTTTTCTTCAACAATTTCCATTGATGAACACTGTTGTACCATCAAAGCCCTTCGATCCCTACTTTTCGATGACCGGATTAGGGTTTCCGGGGCTCGATGATCCGTATGAAGGGATTGCTGTTCATGCTACACCCTTGCAGGGCTTCCATGGGAGTGAGTTCTTGAATTTTTCGAATGCTAAGGATGTTTGGATGGATGTCGGGATGGGTTTGGGCGAGACCGATCTTAAGCCCGATGCGAAGTTTGTTATTCCCGATGAGAGTTCATGTGTGACGAATGCTAAGAACAATGGTGGCGGTGGAAGAAATGGCGTCAAAAGAAGCAAAAGTGTGAATAAGAATAATTTGAGTATTCGGGCGCGATCTTCATTGGCTAGAATGACTAATAGAGGGTCAAAGAAGTCGAAATCGATGAAGGGGCAATGGACTATTGAAGAGGACAAGTGAGAAAAGAAAAATGAGAAAAACCACACACACAAAGATACAAATTTTATTTATTTATTTATTGATTTTTATTTTATGATGTGAGAATAATAGTTGTTACTCTTCGAGTACTGGATAAACCCCTGGTCGAGCGTAATATAGCCTGTAAATCGAAATTTTTTTTATTTTGTTTGCTTTTTAGTTTTGATTTTATGGTTTAAAATGACATATTTTTCGATTCGTAGGCTTTTGATCCGTCTAGTTGAGATATACGGAGTGAGGAAATGGTCGCATATCGCGCAAATGATGAAGGGAAGGATCGGGAAACAATGCCGCGAGCGATGGCATAATCATCTTCGACCCGACATAAAGGTTTGACTCTTCATCGATCTACAATTTCTTTCGAGTACAAAACATTATTTGTGTATTTTTATCTAGTTCTATTTGGCTCTTGATCTAGAACTTCTTTCGAGTACATAACAACATTCTCGTATTTTTATCTAGTTCTATTCAATCTCATTTATTTTGAGATACCATTTAATATTTAGCAAACGCGTTTCTTATAGATCATGTAGGAGATATATGCAACTAAATGAAAAACAAGACTAAAACAATCAAGAAAATTGAAGTTGTTTTGTGTTGTCACAATGATTTAATTTAACCATTGGAAACGTCAAGATTAGGTTTATTTCGAAGAAAAAAAAAAACTTGTGGATCTCTAGAACTATTAGGGTTGTTTAAAGGCATGAGTTATTGTTCTTATTCTGAACCCTAAACCCTAAATCCCGAACCTAAAAAAAATGTACTCATTGATTCGGTACTATATTTCCTTATAGAAAGATCAATGGACCGAGGAAGAGGATCGGATCCTAATCGAGGCTCACTCACAAATCGGAAATAAATGGGCCGAGATTGCGAAGAGACTTGCCGGGAGAACGGAGAATTCAATCAAGAACCATTGGAACGCCACAAAGAGAAGGCAATTTTCGCGGAGAAAATGCCGAACCAAATGGCCAAAACCTAGTTACATTCTCCAAAACTACATCAAAAGCCTCTATTCGGAGAAAGAAGGGGAAAAAAAATTGAAAAATGGCGAAACTCCACCACCGGAGACTGGAGATCTCGAAACCCTAAATGATGCCCTAGCCAATGTCACCGAGTTCGGCTTAACATGTGAGAACGAGTACGATAACCTTGATGATGTCCTCAATTTCACCTTCGACGATTTTCAAGTGTTCGATGGCGCCGGGAGCAGCATTGACTCGTCCTTAGGTGATGCTCCTCGCGGTCTTCTTCCCTCTACCGTCGACGAAAACGATGAAAAATCGTACTTTCTTCTTGAATTCCCTTTCGATGTGGCCTCCATTGTCGATCCTATGTGAAGAAGTAAGAATTTCGAAAATCGACTATATAATATATACATATACATATATATATATATTTATGTTATAGCATGAAGAATGTGAATGTTTGTGTGTTGAGATAAGACCTTGGAACATTGGGATTCATATGATATGATATATATGATGATTGTTTGTTGCAATATATATATATATATATATATATTTCGTTATAATTATGCAGTCTTTGATTCATCACTTTAGTAAATAAAATTATGTATGTATGCATGCGGACACAAGGTCTTGTATAGATTGTTAGTATGAGCTGTTTAGTTTATTTTATATATATAATATGTTAATATACAATATGTTTGAGATCACTTATACTAAGGGCAGTCTTGAAATCTTTTTAAGAGCTGAGCAAAAAAAAATAAATTATAAGTCCTATAAACATATTATTAAATTTATTTTTAAAAGAATATTAACTATAAATATAATAATAAATTCTAAAAAATAAAATTATTTTAATCGTTTATCCAATAAAAGGGCATAAGTACAAAGTCTATCATTAGTGAAAAATAAATAATATATCATGATTATTGTAAAACCATTAGTATAATAATAATAACAACAACACTAATAATAACGGTATGAACTCCAAATATATTTTAATTGCAAAATATTTGTACAAATAAAGACAAATAAAAATAAATTTAAGTTAAATTTTAATGGGTTGGCCATGGAGGTGAGAAAGAATAGAGGTGGAGAGAAAACATAAGTTGTTAAAGTTTAATTTTAGAATTAAAATTAGACAAATGTAAAAAAAAAAATTAATTAAAATATCTAATTTAAAATTTAATTAATCTATTGGTCTAAATTCTAAAATTATGTACCCTCTTACATTAGGGGCCCTGAACACTTGCTCATATTGCTCCCTTAAAGAACCAGACATGACTGTAGTAAATTATAATATATGTTACGTGGACTACTCTCGTGTGCAAGCCTAAATATATATTAAAAGAATATCTGATTAGGACTAATTACCATGGTGCTGATTAGGGTGGATCCATTGGATTAAATTTTAATTTAATGATTAATATTAAATTAAAGAGGTACCATCTAAAATTAACTGTCCGAACGTATTAAGCAAGCGCTTTATGTCCGAATGTGTGAACATGGAAAGAGTGCCCTCGACTTTCAAAATAGGAGCGCCCCGGATTCTTAGAGATAAAATTGTCCCGAATTGTTAGAGCTAAGGGTGCCCTGGATTTTCAAGATAGGAGTGCCCCAGATTCTTAAAGATAAAGATTTTCCCAAATTGTTAAGCTAAATGCGCCCTGGAATTTTCGAAGTAAGGGTGCCCAAACGTGTTGGATGTATTACCGTGATGCATGAGGTATAGTTTAGACTGAGCATCAGACTCAATAAATATGAAAAGTCAAAAGAAATTTGGACGTACTGAGACCAAGAGTAATGTATGCATAGGCGTGTCGAAGAAGGAAGCCCAGACGACCAGAATTCATGTCGGGTAAATTTTTTTTGGCTGCTAGATCAATGAATAGATCCGGAGGATATAGACGAATGACGTATCAGATCAGAAGATCGGCCGCCTAACTTGCTTGATGAACGGTCTCACAAGTTCATTTGTGATTGCCTCTCAAACTTATTTGTGAGACGGCTGTCAAATTTATTTACTTGACCATCAGAAAAAACTTTTAACGGACTGTCGGATAAAATTGGTAGGTTGATCAATCAATGAAAGGGGAGGCGTGCAAGTCCTTATCTTCCGTTGTCGATAAAACTACTGAATCTTGATTTTAGATAAAACATTTGGTTATATTGCCGGTATTTGGATTTGAAAATCTTGATTATTCAATAATAATATTGGATTTGGTTGACAAAATATCAAAATTTGTTACCATGATTAAATATTGTCTAATTTGGGTATTTGAATAAAATCTCAAAATTAGATATATTTAAAGTTAGAAAATAAATGAATTAATTAGCTTTAATTTCTATGAGTTATTATTTTTATGCCGAAGGTTGCATCACTTCAGATTCTTAGTAGATTAGAAACGTCTTGTCGGTTCGCAAGTACCATTTGGATTCTATAAATAAGTTCGTGTAATTGTTGTAAAGGCAGATTTCAACGTCTCAATCAAAGTATTATTATTTTTTCATTCAAAGTAATTTACTTAATTTTATGCACTTCCTTCTTCTCTCTAATTTTTTTGCTATCAAATGTCTTGGCACTGCATTTGATATAAATTTAAGATTTAAGTATTCTAAATTCTCCAAAAGAAGAACTTGCTTATCATCTAATTTGAAAATTTTTAACCAACGTACTATATATATATATATATATATATTGTTTTTGATGAATCATCTTACTTATATAAAAGAAATTAATAAATGCGAAGTCGTCAATTTGCATAATTAGGGTATTAAATATATACTCATTTTGTCTTATTTCAAATGACTAATTTGATTTGGAATACAACATTTAAAATAATATAGTTTAATTAGTTAATAATAATGAGTTATTATATTAATTTATTATATTTCCATATACTTAGTATTGTTAGTAGTTTCAAAATAAAAATGAATACATATGATTAATATAAATTTAAAATATGTGTTTAAATATTTTAAATATGATATTTTAAAAAAATACACTACTCCGTCCCACTCCAAAGGGATCATTTGAGATTTTATAATAGATTAACAAATAATATTTTATTGATCATTGAAAATTGGTAAAAGATTTTGACATTTTTACTCTTATGTATAAAATAATTGTATGTGTAATGATATGCTTGTAATTTAGGTAAAAATTAAAGGTATTTTAGTATTAGTGTATGATTACTTTTTACTTAAATAAAAAATAAATACTTTGAAGTGAAATCGACGAAAATGATAAAATAAATATTTTGAGTTAAGATAAACTATGTTTATATAAAAAAAAAAATTTAATGTAGATAAAAATATTTGTTTATTAACGTAGAAATAAAGGAGTTTGAGTGAATCCTATATGATGTATGATCTTATGAATTTGATTAAGTTAGATTTATATTTGTTAAATATATTTTGATTTAGTAAATTTTACCAAAAAAATATAAATATACCAATTGAAGTAACATGGACAAAAAAGGAAAAAAAAAAAAAGACAATTGAAATGAGACATAGAAAATATTAATCATGTTAGTTTTCTATATAAAGCACTATAATTGCATAATTACAGCATAAAATATATTTTCAAAAAATATCACATTATTGTTGTTATAGACTCTTATTATTATTATTATTATTATTATTATTATTATTATTATTTTTTCTGGTATCAGAAACAATGATCTTGCTTTATAAAATTAATTATGTATAAAAACACTGAGATTGAATAATTAAAACATGAAACCCAAAAAGTAAAACATCACTGCTTCCATATGAGTACCTTGTGTTCTTCTAGTTTGGGACAAATTAATTTACACATTAAAGTGTATAGAATAATTATGAAATTAACCCTGTTTACTATTGACTAGTTGAACCCCGGATACCCGCCGTAACATGGTATAAGAGCCATTGTGTCGTATTGATTTTTGATCCTGTATGAATTTCTGAGATTAGGAAGAACGTTGAATATTGTCCCACATTGGTAAACATGTGAAAATTTCTTTGGCTTACAAGGGTGATGACCACCCCGCCTATCACCAATTAGTTATAGATTAAAAGCCCGAATCACCTATGTTTATCGAAATGGATTACCAAATTATCCTTTGTTTCCTCAATTTCTCTTCCTAGTTCCCCTCATCGCCATTTTCGTCTTCACCATGGTTTGGGCGTAAGTTTACCATCTTCAAAATACTTCACATTCCGTACTTCAACTTCAACGCCAACATTTCCAAGCTCCGGTTGTTCGTCGAGTATTTTTTGAGCCGAATGGACCAATCGAGGATCGCAGGAAATCAATGTTATGGTTCGGAGATTTGGTGCATCTCCAATGCCCCAAGGTATCTCCTTCAAACTGTGTTGGTACTTTATAGTTAGGGCCTCAAGACATGGAAAAATGGTTCCTCTCTACTATCCAATGTTCGAGCTCGACTCCATGAATGCACAAAACTCGTAAGGATTGGAATTTTCCATCGACTAACTTCCACACGATTCCTCGACAAGCACTTGAGGTGTGTCAATGAGCCTATCTTTGTTTTATGCATTCCCATTCAAACCGCGAGTATAAATTCAACTTTACGAGGGGATTCAAGTTTTTGTAGGCGGCTGAGATTGTTGAATTCGATTGAGCTCGGTGGCACCGTAAGAATTTTCAATTTCTTGATGTTGGAATCCTTTTTACGACCTCTTCATCACACTTAAAGCATAGAACTGTCGACAAAGTATGTAAATTCTGCAAAACATATTCATCATCTTGGGGAAGATTTGGGAGCCGAAGAAAATAAACCTTGACATGCCCGAGTCAATACTTCCTCCAAATATCGAATAGGATGCTGGATGAAGTATGTCGAAGGATTAAGGTTTGAAGATTCCAACAGGAGTATGTCCAAGTGGGGGGATTCTTAGATATCTTCTTCCTAAAGAGATCGATAGCGAAGAATCGCATGTTGACTGATTGATCGAAAGACCACTCCATACGATGGGATTGAGAAGGATTGTGAGAAAATCTTAGCACACACCAAGGACTTAAAAGAAGATGTTGACTGTACGGCATCAAGAAATCGACAGCGATGCTCTCCCTTAGTCCTCCCATGACAGCAATCGACAACCGAAGTCCTTTGCAATGCCCTGCAATTTTTCTACCACTTCCCTTCAATTCATCAGGGCAATCTTCTTCCCCGAACACAATATTTCTAAGCAAATCCCAACTTTTGTTTTCATCCAAAAAATCCAAGATAATCTTATCGGTGGACAGCTTCGATGCAACAAAAGATATTCTAGTCGTGACCATTATTCTACTTTGATTGTTGTTGCAGGAAAAGTATTGACTTATCTCATCCCATGCCTCCACGCTCCACATATCATCCATTACAACC